CCCTACTCTGCATATAGATCGCACGCCCCCAAACCAGGAAGCGCAAGAGTTGCTATATGGATACCACCTGAGTCCGAGGTAGAAGTAGTAAATGGGGAAGCAGATAAGCAGGAAGGAAGATGGATCTATATCCTCACCAAGATGGAAAATGAAATTGTCAGTATACTAAATGTATACGGCCTAAATGAACCTACTGAACGCCAAGTGTTCTTTGAAGATATACTTCATCACCTGCCAATTGGGATCCCGGTCATTATGGCAGGGGATTTCAATGCAACACCGGATCGCAACCTAGATAGATGGACCATTCCGTCCCCTTGTCCCGCCTATATAGAGAAGAATGAACAAATAATAGTCAATCTATGTCACTCATCCAATCTTTTCGATTCATTCAGAAGGCTCAACCCAACAACCAAAAAGTTTTCGTGCTTCAAGAAAAATCAAGCAAATAGAAGTATTAAATCCAGAATTGATCTCATCCTAGAATCAGAAGAATTGCAAGGCGCTCTTGAGTTTGCTAACATCTTGCCACGTAGCCCTTTCCCTGGACTGGATCACTCCTTAGCAATTGGAGTGTTCTCCTTTCATAAGAAACCGGACCAAGGTAGGGGATACTACAAACTTAATACATCTCATCTTAAAGATATTAACTTCCAAAAATACCTTGATGATGTATGAAAATTGTGGAGGGAACAAAAACTACTCGATGACAATGATATAGAATGGTTCAATAACGGTCTGGTATTCCCATGCCGTAAATGTAATGAATATTTCAAATCTCTTGCCAATCTAAGACATCAACAAGAAACAGAGCTACATAAGAAAATTCAAGTCCTACAAAAAAAGAAAATTAATTCATCAAACTCAGAGGACTTAGAAATTCTGGCTGAAGAAATCAATGAATTGGAAGACCACCTCCTCAAGTTCAAAGAATATAGGTGGCAAGGTATCAGGATCAGAGGAAAACTCAACAAACACCAGATGGAAGCATCCATGGACGCAAGGTTCTTCTCCATGGTCAGAGCGAGAGTAGGCAGAACCATAATTGAAGCATTGGCTGACCCATTTGATATAAATGCACCACTGACCACCTCTACAGCAACCAACACCAAAAATAGCTAGAGACTTCTATAAAGATATTTTTACTTCAAAAAATACTCCTATTCCCAAACTCCAGAGATCTACTGAGATAAATAAATTTCTTTTCCCACTCGAAAAGACTATCATAGAATCCCAAAAGGTCAAACTCGAGATGCCCCTATCCAAGGAGGAAATCTGGACAACTTTAATCTTAATGGAGGAAGAAAAGACGCCAGGCATAGATGACCCTCCCAAAGAATTTTGGGAAACTATGTGGGATACCCTATCTCAAGACCTCATGAATTTTTATCATACAGTTTGGATTACTGGGATATGGGTGAGATTGTAAACCAAGGTGTCCTGACTCTATTATATAAGAAATGGGACAAATCTAATATAGGGAATTACAGACCATCAACCTACTCACGGTCGTTTATAAGCTTGTACCTAAAACACTGGAGGATAGAATGCAATGTCATTGCAGACATTATTCATC